GGAGGGACCGGAGCCACCCGGCTGGGGACATCGCAGAGAGGTGGCTTCCGAAGGGCCCCGGCAGCAGCGAAGGCACCAAGGTCACAAGGGACGCCCTTGGTGACAGGGGGGGCTTGGGGACAAGGTGACAGGGGGGATCGCCCAGACCCGAGTGGCGCTGGCACGGTGCCAGGTGTCCCGATGTCGCCGTGGGATGGGGACACAGCGGGAAGGGCGCTCCGGTTGTCACCGCGGCGCCTCACAGGTGTCCCCAGGGTGGGGACACTTTCTCCGGTCCTTGTGGATGCGGTGCCCAGGAGGGGACACCCCCGCAGCCCCCCAGTGTCCCCCTGTCCCCCCGAGAGACACACGTGGCCCCTGTGCCACCCTGCCTGTCGCAGTGCCACCCAGCTGTCCCCTCCTGAGCCAGTGTCACCCGCCCATCCATCCCTGTCACCCCTGCCTGTCCCAGTGCCACCCGCCCATCCCTGTCACCCCTGCCTGTCCCAGTGCCACCCCTCTGTCCCTTTCTAACCCGGTGTCACCCACCTATCCCTGTCACCCCTGCCTGCCCCAGTGCCACCCGCCTGTCCCTGTACCTGCTCCAGTGTCACCCACGCACTCCTGCCCGGTGTCACCCCCTGGTCCCTGCCACCACTGCTCGGGGACAGAGCGATGTCCCTCCCTCCCCGGGGCTCTCCCCGAGGTGTCCCCCCGGTGTCCCCGAGGTGTCCCCGCGGTGTCCCCCACTCACTCAGCCGGGGGTTGCTGTGGAAGTCGCGGGTCACGGCCAGCCCGTGCTCGCGGGCGGCCGCCAGCTCTGTCGCCGCTGCTGTCACCTTGGTGGCGGCCATGGCCCTGTCCCTGTCCCTGTCCTTGTCGCCGTCACGGTCCCGGTCCCGCCGGGCAGGACACGGCAGCGCCGCGGGTTTTGTAGCCCCGGCCCGGCCCCGCCCGCGACACCGGCGGCAAAGGTGACACCGACAGCAAAGGTGACACCTGAGACACAGGTGGCACCGGAGACACAGGTGGCACCGTGTTGGCTGTAAACAGCGGGAGGGAGCGGCCGGGGGCGGGACCGCGGGAGCCGGGATGGGGGCAGGGAATGGGAATGGGAGTGGGAATGGGAACGGGAATGGGAACGGGAATGGGAACGGGAACGGGAATGGGAACGGGAATGGGAATGGGAATGGGAATGGGAACGGGAATGGGAATGGGAATAGGAATGGGAACGGAATGGGATAGGGAACAGGAACAGGAGTGGGAACGGGAATGGGAACGGGAACGGGAACGGGAATGGGAATAGGAATGGGAATGGGAATGGGAATGGGAACGGGAATGGGAATGGGAATGGGAACGGGAATGGGAATGGGAATAGGAATGGGAACGGAATGGGATAGGGAACAGGAACAGGAGTGGGAACGGGAATGGGAACGGGAACGGGAACGGGAACGGGAATGGGAATAGGAATGGGAATGGGAATGGGAATGGGAACGGGAATGGGAGTGGGATAAGGGATAGAGATAGGGGTAGGGATAGGGATAAGGGGTATGAGATAGGGAGTGGAACAGGGATAAGGGATAGGGATGGGAATAGGGATAGGGAGAGGGGGAGGGATAAAGAATAGGGGGATGAATAGGGGGATGAGGGGCAGGGATAAGAAATGAGGATAGGGATAAGGGATGGGGCAGGGAATAGAGATAAGGGATACGAATAGGGATAGGGATTAGGATAGGGATAGGGACAGGGACAGGGACAGGGACAGGGATAGGGACAGGGATAGGGATAGGGATAGGGATAGGGATAGGGATAGGGATGTAGATAAGTGATAGGGATAAGGGATAGGGATAGGGATAAGGGATAGGGATAGGGATAAGGGATAGGGATAGGGATAGGGATAAGGGATAGGGATAAGGGATAGGGATAGGGAGAGGAATTGGGATATTCCCGTTCCTCAGCAGGGATAAGGGATACGAGATAGGGAATGGGATAAAGGATAAAGGCTCGGGACAAGGAAAAGGAGAGGGAGAGGGACGGGGATATGGGATAGAAATGGGAAAAGGGATAGGGGTAAGGATAGGGATAGGGGTAAGGGAATGGGATAGGGATAGGGGTAAGGGAATGGGATAGAGTTAGGGATAAACGATAGGGACTAAGGAATGGAATAGGGAAAGGGACAGGAATAAGGGATAGGGATGTAGATAAGGGATAGGGATCGGGATAGGGATAGGGAATGGGATAGGGAAAGGGACTGGGATAAGGGATAGGGATGTAGATAAGGGATAGGGATCGGGGTAGGGATGAGGGGTTGGGGTAGGGATAAGGAATAAGAATAGGGTTAAGGAATAAATATAGGGTTAAGGAATAAAAATAGCATTAAGGGATAGTGATAGGGGATGGGGACTGGGGGTAGCGATAAAGGACAAAGAAAAACGGGATAAAAAAATAGGAAAATAGGAAAAATAGGGATAAGGGACTGGGATAAGGAATAAGAATAGGGAACAAGGGGTGCACGGCTCCTCGGGGGCTCTGAGGACACAGCAGAGAGGGCAATGGTGGCCTTAGAAATGTCACCCCGCGATGTCACCCACGGGGCCAATGACACCCGGAGCGGGGGAGGATGAGGAGGAGGCGGAGGGAGGCAGGACGTGACTTTTAGTAACATTAGAAACCATTAAAAAAAAAAACAACCCAATTTTTCCTTAAAATCTGACATCCGGTTGTTGGTTTTCTGGTCATCCCAGTCTGGAGGAGCCCCTGGCAGCGAGTGGGACAAACTGGGGGTGTCCCCAAGCTGTCCCCGACCCCCGCGACAGCTTCGCTTTGGCGAAAGGAGCTTTGGAAAAGCTTTGGATGGGATTTGGGGATTTTTGGGGTCAAACGGGCAAAAGGGGCAGCGCCGGGATTCCCGCGGAACCAAAGCAGGCAGGAAAACCCCGAGGATATTCCCAAGCCCGCATTCCCAAATCCAACCCGGGCTTTGTTTTGCCCGAAATGTCCCCGAATCCCCTCCGGCCGCGGAGGTTGAGGGGTCTGGGGTTCCCTTCTCCACCCGATTGTTCCCGGTGAGCCCGGGAATTTTCCGGGCTGGAAAATCCCTAAATCCCCTTGGAGTGGGGCTGGGAAAAGGGAAAAGCAAAATCCAAGCGAGGCCCGGGGGCGGGGGGGTTGGGGACAGAATTCCAGGGGTGGGGACGCGGCCACTTCCCTGTCCTGGCTCCACCTGGATCGGGAAGAGGCGGGATCGACATAAATTAAAGGATTAGGGAATAACCCCAAATATCGTTGGAGCAATTCCAGGCAAATTGTGCCATAATTAAAGGACAGGGGGACAGGCAGGATTGTCCCTTGTCACCTGTCCCTGCCTCAGTTTCCCCGCCCGAGCCGTCCCCTTGAAAGGCTCCAAAGGGAGCGGAGCAAAAAATAACAATTCCCTAAAAACGGGGGGAAATACAAAAAAAAAAAAAAATGACCCAAAGTTTCTCATAAAATCTTTTATTTTAAATATTTCCCTGCAAAATCCTGGGAATTCGGGGGCCCGGGGGATGTGGCCCCGTAGGGAGCAGCAGCCCTGGGATGGCGGGGGGGGGATGCTCAGTGTTAATGATCATTATTAATTAATTGATTGATTGATTAATTAATCAACAGCAGCGGGTTTGGGGGTGTGGGGGGAGCCCCCGGGGCAGGGCCTGAGTGTGGGGAGGGGGCTCGGGGTGTCCCCCTGGTGCTGTCACAGCCGCGTCCCTGCGGGGTGGCACTGAGGGGTGATGCCACCCCAGGGTGTCCTGGCAGGGTGGTGACACCGTGGGGTACCTGACAATGCCACCCCAGCGTGTCCTGGCAGGGTGGTGACACCGTGGGTACCTGGCAATGCCACCCCAGCGTGTCCTGGCAGGGTGGTGACACCGTGGGTACCTGGCAATGCCACCCCAGCGTGTCCTGGCAGGGTGGTGACACCGTGGGGTACCTGGTGATGCCACCCCAGGGTGTCCTGGCAGGGTGGTGACACCGTGGGGTACCTGGCGATGCCACCCCAGGGTGTCCTGGCAGGGTGGTGACACCGTGGGGTACCTGGCGATGCCACCCCAGGGTGTCCTGGCAGGGTGGTGACACGGTGGGTACCTGGCGATGCCACCCCAGGGTGTCCTGGCAAGGTGGTGACACGGTGGGTACCTGGCGATGCCACCCCAGGGTGTCCTGGCAGGCTGGTGACACTGCAGGACACCCGGACACGGTGACGCCACCCCAGGGTGTCCCACCAAGGTGACACTCACACCCCCCCCCAGCAGCTGCTCCTGTCCCCAAGGGCCACCTCATGCAAAGTCCCCCTGGTCCCCAGCCCCACCCTCAGCCCGAGTGGCCCCGCAGGAAGCCACTGTCACCCCCTGGGACTCGGGAAGGGCCCCTGGCTGTGGCAGGTGACAAGGCGGGTGTGACAGGTGCCAGTGTCAGCGCGGGGTCACTGCGGTGCCACCTCAGGGTGGGTCTGGGGGCGCTGCTGTCCCGCCCCAGCGCGGCAGATGCCACCGCTGTCACCGCTGTCCCCAGCTGTCACCCGGCGGCGCGGGACAGGGACCCACGGCCCCTCGGGGGGATCCCTGTGGAGACGGTCCCAAAAAGGGACAGGCAGGGGTTGGGGCCCCGCGGGTGTCCCCGGGGTGGCGGCAGCCGCTTGTTCCCAGCACGGCGACAACGGGGGACATCGCCCGGGACATCGGAGGACAAAGCCCCCTCCCCGGCGCAGGCGGGGAAACTGAGGCACGGGGACAGAGCCCGAAGCCACCTCGCGCTGTCCCTTTTGTCCCCCCGGAGGAGACACCCCAGGGTGTCCCAGCGCCACCGCCCGCTGCTCCCGTCCCCTCCCGCCGATACCTGGAGCGGGGCTTTGGCGACAGCGACACCTCGGAGTGTCACCGGCTCAACCCTGGCCACAGCCGCGCCTCCACCGGCCCGGGGAGGAGCCGCCATTCCCGGGGGCGCCCATTCCCAGCGGGAATTCCCAGTTTGGGGTGGGGGGACGATCTGGGCTTGGTGTGGCGGGGGGGAGGTGACACTTTTTGATACTGGGTTGGTTTTTTTTTGGGTTTTTGTTTTTTTTTGGGGGGGTTTCTTTTTTAAGGGCTCGGCTTCTTGCTGGGTATAGAATTGTCCTTCCTCTCCAGCCGCGTGTAAGGCTCGAACGCGGATGCTCCGGGCGGGTACGGGGCGGGCAGATCGTGCAGGCTGCCCAGCAGCGGCCCCCCGAAACACAGCGGCCTCCCCGGCAGCCGCGGCGACGGCGACAACGAGGACGAGGAGGAGGATGAGGAGGAGGAGGAAGCGGCGAGGGAAGGGACGTGCAGGCCGAAAGGCGGCGGGGCCGGGGGGCTGCCGCTGCCACCGCCCAGCCCCGGAGGGGACGCGGGGACAGGCGGGGCCAGGCTGGCCGCGGGGCTGGCGACAGGGACGGGGTTGGGAGGGGGGGACAGGAGGCTCGGCGGGGCCGGCACGGACAGGAGGCGGCCCTGCTCCAGCAGCCGCAGGATGTTGCAGGTGGCGAAGGACTCGGAGGTGCTGGAGGAGCGTTTCTCAGAGTCCCTGCTCTGGTCCTTCTTCTGCTTCGTGCGGCGGTTCTGGAACCACACCTTGACCTGGGGACAGGCGGGGTTTGGGGTGGGGAAAGGGGGGGCGGGAGGGCACGGACGGAAAGAGAGCGCGGGGGGGGCCGGGGAGAGAGAGGCGAGAGCCAGGAGAGAGCGAGAGGTACGAGAGAGAGAGAGAGATGGATTAGAATAAACGGCCAAGCGAGACCCGCCCGCCCGGGATCCGGCCGCTGCCGGGGAGAGGGAGAATTCCTGCGGGGCCCGAGCCCGAGGGGGGCACCCCGGGAATGAGAGCTCCGGGATGGGAATCGGGACTGGACCCCAGGAACGGCACCCCGGGAATGGGACTTGGGACAGGAACCCAGGGATGGGATCCCAGGGATGGAACCCCAGGAATGGGATCATAGGGATGCAACTCGGGACTGGACCCCAGGGATGGGACCTGGGACAGGAATCGGGATGGGATCCCAGGGATGGGATCACAGGGATGCAACTCGGGACTGGGCCCCAGGAATGGCACCCCAGGAATGGGACTTGGGACAGGAGCCCAGGGATGGGATCCCAGGGATGGAACCCCAGGGATGGGATCATAGGGATGCAACTCGGGATGCAACTGGACCCCAAGAATGGCTCCCCAGGAATGGGACTCGGGACAGGAGCCCAGGGATGGGATCACAGGGATGGAACCCCAAGGATGGAACCTCAGGAACTGGACCCCAGGTTTGGGAGCCTGGGGATGGGTCCCCATGGATGTGACCTCTGGAATGGGACCCCTGGAATGGGACCCCAGGGATGGCACCCCAGAGATGGGACCCCAGGAATGGAATCCCAAGAATGGGATCCCAGGGATGCGACCCTAGGAATGGGATCCCAGGAACAGCACCCCAGGGATGGGACTCGGGACAGGAACACGGGGCTGGGATCCCAGGGATGGAACCCCAAGGATGGAACCTCAGGAACGGGATCCCAGGGATGGGACTCGGGACAGGAGCCCAGGGTTGGGATCCCAAGGATGGAATCCCAAGGATGGGATCCCAGGGATGGGACCTCAGGAATGGGACTTGGAACAGGAGCCCAGGGTTGGGATTCCAGGGACAGGACCCCAGGAATGGGATCCCAGGGATGAGATCCCAGGGATGGGAATTGGAACAGAAGCCCAGGATTGGGAGCCTGGGGATGGGACCCCAGGAATGGAACCTCAGGAATGGGACCCCAGGAATGGGATCTCAGGCTCCTGTCCCTGGAATGGGACCCCAGGGATGGGACTCAGGACAGGACCCCAGGAATGGGATCTCAGGGATGGTATCCCAAGATGGGGCCCCAGGAATGGGACCCCATGGATCCCAGGTTCCTGTCCCTGGAATGGGACCCCAGGGATGGGACCTGGGACAGGAGCTCAGGGATGGGACCTCAGGAATGGGACCCCATGGATCCCAGTCTCCTGCTCCTGGAATGGGACGCCTGGAATGGAGCTGGGGACAGGAGCCCAGGGTTGGGAACCCATAGATGGCACCCCAGGAATGGGATCCCAGGGATGAGACCCCAGGAATGGGTTCATAGAGATGGGACTCGGGACAGGAGCTCAGGGATGGGAGCCCAGGGACGGGACCCTGGGGACGGGAGCCTGGGGAAGGAGCCCGGAGCTGGTGCCTGACCCGCCCTGTGCCGTGCTCGGCTCTCCCTGCGCTGCTTTTCCCGGGAATGCTGACAGGGACAGGCTGGATCCTCCTCAAATTCCCAAATTTCCGTCCCCGACTGCAAACCCTCCCACGGCCGGGGCGCAGGGTGACACCTGAGGGGACAGGGTGGCTTCTGGTGGCCCTGGATTGCTGGGGACAGACCCAGCCGGGGACACTCGCACAGGTCAGGAGGGAATCCAGGCTGAGCCCCGCGGGGTCCCCGCACCCCAAACCCGCCCCTGCCCACCGCAGATCCCCCTAAACTCCCCCTGCCTCCCTGCCTCCCTCCCTCCCTCCCTGGCAGAGCAGAGGGGCAGGAGAGGCAGAGAGAGAGACAGAGAGAGGCGGCAGGGACGGACAGACGGACACGGGGTGAGGGAAGGACACACGGGTGGGAAGACACTCGGGTTAGAGCGCGGCGGCGACGAGCGGGAGGGACCCCGAGCCGCGGGGCCGGCGGTGCCGGGCTCCTGCCGGTGTCACCGGCGGCTCCTTGGGGACACGCCGCACAAAGGAGCCCCAGGGCGGGAACCGGGGGACACCGCGGGGACACCGCGGGGACACCGCGGGGACACCGCGGGGACATCGCCTCCCGCCACCGCCGGGCGCTGCCGGCCCGCCGCTCCCCGCGGGGACATCCGCGACACCCGCACGGGGACATGGAGGCACTCACTGCCCCCGGGCACGGCCGGGTGCCCAGGGATGGGGTCCCCGTGTCACTGACCCCAGAGCTGGGTCCCCATCCCACTGACCCCAGAGTGGTGTCCCTGTCCACTGACCCCAGGGCTGTGTCACCGTGCCACTGACCCTGTTGGTCACTCCTTGCTGACCACTGGGGTGGTTTTGGGAACAAAGCTGGGTCCCCAGGGCTGGTGTCCCCATCCCACTGACCCCAAAACCATCTGAGTCCCTGTCACACTGACCCCAGAGCTGTGTCCCCATCCCACTGACCCCAGGGCTGTGTCCCCATGTCACTGACCCCAGGGCTGTGTCACTGTGTCACTGACTCCTCTGGTCACTCCATGCTGACCACTGGAATGGTTTGGGAACAACGCCTGTTCCCAGAGCTGGTGTCCCCATCCCAGTGACCCCAGAGCTGTGTCACTGTGTCACTGTGACCCCACTGGTCACTCTGTGCTGACCACTGGGATGGTTTTGAGAACAGTCCCACGTCCCCAGACACAGTGACCTGACACAGAATTGTCCCATCCCCTGGAGCAGCCGAATCCTGGGAATTGCAGATCCCAAACCCGCAGTGGTGGGGCCAAAGAGGAACCAGGTGCCCCAAACCCATCTGATTAGTGCCACCTTAACAAAGATCCAGATGAACCCGGACAGGATGGACATTCCCAGAACTCTCCTCTCCAAATGTTCCCCATCCAGCAATTCAGGAGGAGCAGGAATTCAGGAAAATCCCTCAGTGGGATTTAATCCTTGGGGATGGGCACGATGAGCCCATGGATCAGGTTTGGAACTCCAACCCCATCCCTGAACCCCAAACCAGGGGCTGCTCCAAAATCCAACTGCCCCAGGTGAATCCAAATCCATCCAACCTGGCCTTGGGCACTGCCAGGGATCCAGGGGCAGCCCCAGCAAATCTGGGAATTCCAGCCCAGGCAGGAATTCCTTGCCAAGATCCCAGCCCAATCTCCCCTTTCCCAGTGGGAGCCATTCCCTGGCTCCTGTCCCTGCAGGCCTTGTCCCCAGCCCCTCTCCAGCTCTCCTGGAGCCCCTGCAGGGACTCTGAGGATTCCCTGGAATTTCCCTTCTCCAGGGGAACATTCCCAGCTCCCCAGTCCACCAAGGAAATGGGAATATGAGAAAAAGGAATCACGGCACAGAGACCCCAAAGCGCTGGGAAAGGGGAGCTCTGAAATTGTGTAAAATATTAAATACTACTAATTCAACATTTATATTAAATAATAAATAAGTGAAATAATGTAACATTTTTATTTGGGAAATATAATAATGGGATATTGAAGATATAAAAATTATATATATACACATTATTTTAGTGTATATAAATACATAATTATTGTTTTCTATTATATTTAATAGCATCTTTATGTTTTCTATATTAGATTGAATGACATCTTTATATTTTTATTGCTTTTATTTTATGTTGTATATTAAATATTCTATAATGGAGATATTTTATATTAATTAATAACTATAGTAATGGCTACTATTAATATACACCTATAGAATATAGCTAACTAATATAGAATACATAATACATATGTACATATATAGTATATAATGTAGTTAATGTAATTATAATGTATTATATATTTTATATGATGTATTACATTATATTTTAGATTATATGTTTATATATTGTGATATTGATGGTTTTCCTTATTTTTTATTATTTTATTTTTTAAATTATATAATTATATAATTATTTTATTATTTTATTTTATTTTATTTTTTATTATTTTATTATTTTAATTTTGTTTTATTTTATTTTAATGTTTAAATTGATTTTTTAAAAATATAATTTAATTTTATTTAATTTTATTATTTCACTCCTTTGTCTTCTACCAAATTTTTAGAATTCTCTTATTTTGTTTTCTCCTACTGTATTTTATTTTGCTTTATTGTACTCCATTTTATTTTCCCATCTTTTATTCAATTCTATTCCTTCTCCCTGAGCCAATTTGCTTTCATTATATTCTATATTTTATATTTTATATTTTATATTTTATATTTTATATTTTATATTATTTTATATTACTTTATATTATTTTATATTATTTTATATTTTGTATTTTAGTTTACATTTTATTTGACTATATTTTATTTATTTATTATTTTTATTTTATAATGTTATATTCTAATTTTATTTTATTTTATGTTTTATTTTATAATATTTATTATTTTTATTTTATTTCCTATTTGGCTTTGTAATATTTTATATATTTTTTATTTTATTTTCATTTCCCACTCCCTATTCCACAACCGAATGAGTCCCTGAGATCCCCCCGCATTTCTCCTCCTCCCGCAGATCCTTTCCCTGGGGATTCATCCCTCTGACCCCAGGAAGGCAGGGCTGTGTCCCCTCCCCTGCTCCTGGCACCTGGAATGTCATCCCAAATGTCACCGTGCTCGGAACGCTGCAGCCCAGTGCTCTGGGGAGTTCTGATCCCGGAATCCCAATTCCTGGATCCCCAGCAGGGTGCGGGGAGCGGCGCGCGAAGACAGGAATAAAACGGGAACACGGCGTTATCCGGAGCCTACGGAATCATCTGGAACCTGCAACGTCGGCTCCATCCTGGTTTTCCACGGCTGTTGGCACTGGGATGGAGCCCATAAAGGGTTGGATCCCTGGAATCCCTGGGATGGAGCCCACAAAGGGTTGGATCCCTG